CCTCCGACTGCGTCTCCTACGTGAGCGCCGGCTCCGGCTACAGCGACTCCGGCATCTCGACGTCGCTCGAGGACACGGCGTCGCCCAACGCCGGCGGACACGACCACGTCGACTTCGACCGCCTGGTCGACTCGGCCGTCGACTCGCTCGTGTACTCCCCCGGCGCGGGCGGCCTCCCCCCCGTCGACGACAGCTCCGCCATGGACAGCAGCAGCGGCGCCTACATGACCACGACGCAGCTGCCGTACCTGACCCCGGTGACGCAGAGCGGGGACGTGTCCTCCATCCTGGAGGGGGCGCTCAGAGGCACCGTGCGGCGGCCCGGCGGCCCGACGCAGCCGCTGCCGCCGCTGCCGCCGCTCACCAAGATATCGGAGGCGAAGACGCTCACCCTCATGTCCAACATGACGCCTCTGCCGCCCCTGACGTCCGCGTTCAAGGCGGAGCAGCTGAACGGCGTGGCCGGCTCGACGCAGATCAGCAGCAGCAACGGCATGTACGTCACGACCGGCTACGACTACCACCCGGCCCCCGTCGAGGAGCTGACGAGCCTGGACGTGTCGTTCAACAAGCTGTCCACCACCAACACGTCCAAGATGGACCAGCAGCCCGACACCAAGCCCAAGAAGCGCAAGTACACCAAGCGGGCGGCCGGCGAGGAGCCGTCCACCAAGGGCCGCCTCCTGCACTTCTGCCACATCTGCAACAAAGGCTTCAAAGACAAGTACAGCGTGAACGTGCACATCCGCACCCACACCGGCGAGAAGCCCTTCACGTGTGAGCTGTGCGGCAAGTGCTTCCGGCAGAAGGCCCACCTGGCCAAGCACATACAGATCCACACCGCGCCGAAGCCCCCGGGAAAGAGGTGAGCGAGGCCGGAGGACCGAAGCCTCGCCAAGCCACCCCTAGCCCCGGGCCGCTCCAAGTCGCGCCGGGCCACTCTGGGCCACGTCGGGCCATAGTTGTGGGCCGAGAACCACGTCTCACTGTCGTACCTGCTCCTCGCTCTTAAGCCGTCCTTGCGTTATTCACAGCTTCCTACTGTTAGAAGGATATGGGAATCCAATGATTAACACTACGTTTAGCCTGCGGTGCAGCCAATACTCATGTGTATATAGCCACCACTAACCCGTACCCAAACTTGAGTTTTGCACTCACTTAGGACCTGTGTAGGAGAGTCTATGATTATGTTAATTGTTATTTTCTACAAAAGAGAACCACTGTATCACCACTAGCTGGCTAGTGTTACACATCCTTTTATTTTACCCCCCCCCCCCCTTAAAGCAACTTTTATGATGAAAAGGTTGTACGATTTAAATTAGGGTGCCATTATTCTATAGCTTATACTCTGTTTTAAAATGAAGAAGAGATTCTATAAGCAACGCGGCGTCACGTTGCTGAGGCAAATTAGCCCTAAGACAACCTGGCGTTGCGACCAATTTGCTTCAGCTTCCTGACGTCGGAGAGGCGAGAGGAGACCGGCGGGAACCCGGCCCTCCTCTGCAGCGCAGAACGGGCGGCGCACGTCACGGGTCGCCGCCCACGGACACTCTGCAGTTCCTTGGGAAAACGCTTCACTCTGGAATCACAGCAACACCTGCTGCTGCCGATGCCCAGTGCTGTTATCGGAGAGAAGGAGGAGGCTGACCGGCCTTCGCTTCGCACGACATCCGGCCGCAGTGGACACTCGGTCTGCTTTGGACATGTCATACTCGCTGGACGTACTGTCTGCTGGGTGACTATGCAGTACATTTGGTGAACGCGGTGTACTGAAGAGAGAGGGAATACCACGACGCAGTATACTGAATGTACGCGAAATGTACTGGGTGAGCACACAGTTCGCTGATCTAAAAGAAATACATGGAACTAATTTTCTGAAAATGGTGACTTACAGAAGAGAGCTTCACTGTATAAGGTGCAGACTCCTTTCGTTGTATGAAGAAAAGATTACGGTTTCTCAGCATTATAAGACTAATGCTGATCCAGATGTCTTAATGAAAACATTTTCATCAGAGGGAAGAAACTCAAAATGTGTCATATTGTGATATATATATATATATATATATATATATATATATATAATATATATATATATGTATGTATATATATATATATATATATATATATATATATATATATATATATATATGTATATATATTTATATATACGTATGTATGCATGTATGTATATATATGTATATGTATATGCATGTATATATATATTATATATATATATATATATATATATATATATAATATATATATATATATTATATATATATATATTATATATATATATATATATATATATATATATTATATATATATATATATATATATATATATATATATTATATATATAATATATAATAAGTAAATTATCATTTAGGGAAAATTTGTTAGAATTATGTTAGAATTCTTGGCACTACCATTAATTATTTTTCTTAGTTTTATTTTTTGTAATTTATGGGTTATTTTAATCTGGTTTTCCATTTACTTAATCTTATATTATGTTCATCATTATGTACATAGGTTAAGATTACTGACAAAAAGTATTTATTCCTTTCTAAGAAGAAAATAAAAATATCTTTACCTATGAGGTCCTAAAATTGTCTCGTGCTCGCCTGTGTTGTCTTCAAATTTCCTCTCTATTGTTCTAACATCATATTTGTTAGACTATAGTTATTGCTAATAAAAGGGAGTTACATTAAAAACCTATTCGTTGTATAGGGTGAACACGTTACATAATGTACATGAATGTAAATAACAATAAAATCTAGATTATTTAGCGTTATTTTCACCGTGTTAGCTGTCGACTGCCGCAGACTGCCGTGGAGTTGCTAAAAACAAAATGCAAGTCCTCAGTAATGAGCTTAATTAGGTTTATATTTCCAATTGTAAATGACTGAAAGGCCCAATTAATAGATTGTGTATCAAATACTTTATCAGGAATATGTTCAATTAGGTGTCTTGAATCTTTTATGAATTGAGAACAGAAGATACGGATATGAATGTATTTTAATGTTGTAGTGACTAAATGGTTTGCTTAATTGCAAGTATAAACAAAGATAAATTATCAGACCATTAAAGTGACCAATGAGATCTATCTATCCACGCACTGCCATCGGTTAGTCGACGGTGTTTTAAACACGTTGTGTGACGTTCTGCACGATGATTGGCTGCCAAAATCTGAACGAACGCTGTGATTGGAGGAGATCTGGAACCCTGAACCCAGTCCCTGACACTTTCGTAGATGGTACAACTATCTCTGTTAAGTTCTTTTTACTCTGTTGCGCCTTTTGGAACGAAAAAGCTGGTTGCACTTGGAACGAGAGTGCCAGGTCAATGGAGTACATCTGGCGACACCACGATTGATTACATAATTGTACATCACATGTATATTTATTTATTTTGATTAAATTATGTATTTAAAATTGAATCAGGAAATCAAACTCCCACTCGAGTCCTGAAGTGTAACCGGGAAACCATGTCTGAAACAGGCGGAAACTATTTACTTTCCCATAGGACTAAGAAGAAGAAAAAATGTGTGTATGATTTAGCGATCTCAGAAAAAATAAATGGTACTGACTCTCCTTCTAAGGAAAGTAATTTAAATGGAGTATTTAATGGCGAAGAACACAAAAAATACGTTTGTTCATTGGATAGTTCAGACAATCTGTACAAGTCGCTAATTCACTACACAATATTTCTTTTTCTTCACAATGTATATTTCATGATGTTTTTTCTCCTTCAGTTTCCCCTTTTCTCTTGTAATAGGTTTTATGATGAATATTATTATGTATCGTATCATATAGAGATTTCAATTACTTTTAGTTGCTATGCAGTATTTTATATTTGGGGACGAAATGCGCAATATTGGCACTTGGTTTGGATTCAACAAAGGCGAATAAAGAAGAAGAAAATAAGGTGTTCAGTCCTTTTATAACGAATTCAAACCCAAGTCCCAAAATGTCTGCTGTTGTGACGGACGTATGAAGATGCAATACTTGTGTAATACTTTTTAAACTCCCGTGTTTTTTTTCCTTTCCATTTCTCTGTCTTTTGTTATTGTTACCTGCATCCATTTAGCATCATGACTGTTCATCTAACCATCACATTCTGTTGCTCCATCGTTCCCTGAAGCTAAAAAAATGTCAAATGCGTCAGAGAGAGAGAGAGAGAGAGAGAGAGAGAGAGAGAGAGAGAGAGAGAGAGAGAGAGAGAGAGAGAGAGAGAGAGAGAGAGAGAGAGAGAGAGAGAGAGAATGAGAATTGCTTCCCAGCGTCAGAAGCAGAAGGCAAGTGGGTGTCGCTGAGTCTCTGGAGTGTGGCCCAGGCCCCGAAACGTCGGTCCTAATCTCCTCAGAAGCGCGCCTTTTGACCTCTGCTGTGAAGGGCGTCCGTCGCCCTCTTTTCACAGAAAACGGTGACGTTTATAGAAATTCTGCGTCCGACCAAGAGATGGCGCTTGCATCCCAATGCTCTTGGAGAGACTAATGCCATCTCTTGGTTGACACCGGAACTACAGAGAGCTCAACGGTTCCCATTTCTAATGCCTTTTGAGGGTGTCACTTTTGGCGCTTAAAAAGTCAGGGGATGAGGGATCCAATGAATAATGAAAGCCTTATATTTTTCTATCGTTGAGAAAGTCATATATTTTAATTTTGTTACCAAAATCAAGATATATATATACACAAATATATATAAAAGTTCTACGAAATCATTGCAGCTTGCACAGTGAACAATGATTTATAGCTAGCAATATGCTGTTCTCCAGAACTGTTGCTGATAGTCTGTTACTCAGCTAAGGTAGTTTGTTATCAAGATGCTGCAATATTTTGTCCTGCCTTCAATGATAAGAAAAGGGTCATGCCAATCCCAATTTTCTTCTGTGATATACAAAGTCAAATCGTTATCGAATTTGTTATGCTTTTCCTTTATTGCGTTTCAATGGTTTCTCTAGTTTTTTTGTTCTTGTTATTCGTTACAAACACATCCCTT